GGATCCTGGGATAGAGGCAAAGGCCAATAGCCAGTCACACCCAGAGGCCACTACTGAAAAGTAGAGGTGAACTAAAGAGTTCTCCACACTAGAAATAAAGCTTTCCATGACAGTTCACCTGCTAACCTCAACACAAACAAGCAAAAGATAGAAACATGAGAAGACAAGTCAACAAAATGCCTTCAAAACCTTCCAACTGTTCCAACATCAAAGGGAAGGGAACCAAAAGTAATACACCCAAATTATTCAAAATGATATCATGCAAGATAATAAAGGAGATCAAGAAAGAATTTGGCAAGCTTACAGAAGATTTGAATAAAAAGATATTGGGCCAAATAAACAAAATGAACAATAAGCCTATAGAAGACACTAATAAAAACCTAGAAGAGCTTAAAAAACATACAGAACATGAATAATAAACACATAAAAGAATTAGAGTACATAAAGGGGTTCCAAATAGAAATTGAGGACATTAACTATTCTATCTAAAGTGTGGACAGTAGAAATGACCAGTGTGAAGAGAATGACCATTAATGAGAGATATATTAAAAATAAGAGAACATGAAAATTAGCTATAACTCCTACAAAACATAAAGAAGCCTAATCTAAGATTAACAGGAATTGGTGAAAAATCAGAAAACAATACAAGTGGCATAAAAACTTGTTTGCTGAAATAAGAGCAGAAAACTTTCCCAATAAGGTGAGAGAATTTAGCATTTAGATAACTGAGGGATATAGAGCCCCAAATAACCACAATTAGAAAAGAACTTCTCTGTGACATCATAGTCAAACTCCCAAAAATGTAATAAAAGAATAGAATATTAGAAATGGTTAGAGAACATCAACAAATCACTTTTATTTTTATTTTCTTTTACTTATTTTAAAGAAAATAGTACCAAAAAAAGAACAATAGCAAAATACAAACAACACAAAGCAAGGACACTAAAAATGATACAGTGTTTCAAACCAAATGATAGAGATTAACAGTGGTTGTTATATTACACATTGTTATCTTCAACGAAGTTGCTCAGATTAGCAGATGTAAGAATAGAAGACTGATCAAATCATTAAAGGTAATAAAATAATAATTTAAAAGAACATAAGAGACAATACATAGTGTCACTAGGCAGGATTGTAGGAATTCACCAATGGATATTACACTGGAAATTGTTGTCATCACATAAGTTGCTCAGATTACCAGATACAAATTTGCAAAATTGCTCAAAATATTTTCAAAAAGCTTTTAAACATTAACTGTTCCCCTCAACAAACCATCAGATACCAACAGTACAGTTATGCCACCGATCCATAATATATAAAATGCCTTACTACTTTTTCTTCTTTCATCATCCCAGTTGTTCCTTCCTTTGAGCAATTTATTTCCTTTTCTTTTCTTACTACTTTTAAAGGAAAAACCTTTTGAATTACTGTAGACTTCTCCACAGAAAATTTAAAGGCCAGTAGAGCTTGGTGTGAAGTGTTTCAAATTCTGATAAGAAATAATTTCAAACCCAGGCTGATAAACCTGCAAACTATCAATAGAGACATAAGATACTTCCATAATAAAGATCACTTAAAGAAATTCATGACCACCAGACCAGCACTCCCAAAATGTTTGAATGATACTCCAGAAAAAGCAAGCTAACAATGACAAAATATCTAGGAAAAAGAATGTCCTAAGTAAGGTCAGCAGTTAAGTAGAAGGAAAAGAAAGGGTATCATCAACAGGAAAATAAAACAGGGACAGGAATTCAAGTCAGTACCCATTAGTAATAACTCAATATGAATGGTCTCAATTTCCCAGTGAAAAGATACAAGCTGGCAGAATGGTTTAAGAAACAAAATCTAACAATATTTGTTTTTGAAGAACACATTTAATACAGAAATAAACCCATAGGTTCAAAATTAAAGGGTAGAAAATAATATTCCATGAAATGGGAACCCTAAAAAAGCAAGTGTTCCTATCCTATATTCAGACGAAATGGACTTCAAGCCAAAGCTGAGTAAAAGAAGCAAAGAAAGCTGTTAACAAACTGCATATTGGTTAAAGAAACAATCTAACAGGAAGACATAACAATTATTGGCATATATGTATCAAACAGTGACACACCCAACTTCATAAAATAAGTGCTCCTGGATATAAAAATCAGATAAACATAAAATAAGTTATATTGGGGAACCTTGATACCCCACTATCACAAATAGATCAATTAGACAACAAATCAACAAAGAAATATCAGAGTTCGAAAAAACCTTTGAAAAATGATCTTAAAATATATATGCAGAGTGTTCTTCCCAACAACACCGCACATACTAGACAATCAAGTGTGCTTACAGACATTATGTAAATATATGGAAATAGACAACACCCTATTAAATAAACAGTGGATTATGGAAGTTAAAGAAGGAACAAGATGTTTCTAGAACAACAATGCCAGTATAACACAACCCAGCTTACAGTACACAAAATTCCTAAGAGGGGTTTGTAGGTGTGAGGATACACACCACAAAAACAGAGAGAGGCCAAATCAAGAACATGCACCAAGAACAATCCAAACTTCAAGCCAGTGTAAGGAAAGAAATGATGAAGATCATAGCAGAAATCAGTAAAATTGGGGCAAAAAAGTACAAAGAATCAATGAGTCAAAAAATGGATTCTTTGGAAGAATAAATGGAATAAATCAAACCTTAGCCAAACTAACTAAAGAAGGAGAGAAAATAATGAAATTTAGAAGTAAAAAATTTTAGAAATAAAAGGTTAGAATCAATTAGAAGTAAAAAGAAATTGAAATAAGAATCAACACTCCTGAAATAACAAATATTAACAGCTACTTCCTAAACCTCTATGCCAATATTTTGGAGAATTTAGGTTGGCTAGATGACTAGATATATGTGAATGACCAAAACTAAACCAAGAAAATGTAAAAATCCCAAGTAATCCAATGGTAGACAATGAAATTAAAGCAGTAATGAAAAACCTACCAACTAAGAAAACCCAGATCCAAATGGGTTCACTGCTGAACTCTACAGAAACTTCAGGGAATCTCTAATGTCAATACTCCTTAGCTTTTTAAATGAAATTGGAAGGTAAAGAATACTTCCGAAGTCATTCCTGGAAGCTAACATTATCCACAACAGGATACTGGCAAATAGAATGTAGTGAATGAGCAAAAAGATCATGCAAGCTTCATCCCACAAATACTAGGATGGTTCAAATCAATAAATATAATACATCACATAAATAGAGGCACAGACAGAAATCACACAGTCACTACAGCAGATGGAGAAAAGCCTTTGAAAATCCCAACATCCCTTCATGATAAAAGTGCTGAAGAAAATAGGCATAGAAGGACCTTATCTCAATCTCATAAAAGCCATTTATGATGAACCTACTGCCAGCATCATAGTAAATATGGAAAAACTGAAAGCTTATATATATATATATAAAATTTCAAAGAAAAAATACCAATAACTCAATTTTGAAATGACTACAGAATTATGTTCACTGGTATAAATCATCACTGGAGAATTCTCATTCATTACAGTTGGTTTGTAATTAACAAAGAGATTTTGTTTTTAATGCTGCCATAGTTTGATTATGACTAATGAGTTAGTAAATGATGATGGCAGATACCAATAATCTTATTTATCCACAGTTTCCTTCATTCAATTTATGGAAAATTCAAAAAGTTAGAAACTGAGGGACAGAACTTGCAAGTTTTGACATCAATAGCTCCATTTTTGCTTCACAGAAAGAGAAGGCATGCCACTGTAATCACACGACTAAGTGACCTGCTGTAGGTCAGATATCCCTAACAGAAACAATCTTAGTCTTTTGACTCTTAACGTGGTTCTGTTCAGAACTGTTTGGTTTAACACACTAGTATGTGATGCCAACTCACTTTTGTGGTAGATATATCACCAAGGTTCTAGTAACAAACAAACAAATAAATAAACACAAGCTTCTTCTTGCCTTTGCAAAAAAGTTACATTCTCAACAAGCAAGAATATAAATCACTGAAATACAAAGCCGCTTGGAGAAAATGCTTAGGAGGAAAAGAAGTCAAGATATTTATTGGAATAAGTCAGGGATGTATCCACAGAGGAGATACCATATGGAAAGGAGCACTGCAGATTGGTTGGATACGAACAGTTAGAAATTAAAGGGAAACAAAGAGTTCTGTGTGCTGAGGTATGCAGGTAGGCAACACCGTGGACTGTGTTTTCATAAGAGGAGCAGGTAGTGCTAGTTGAATGGAATATAAGTTACTTGTGATGATGGTACAAAGGCTGATGAATTTGCGAAGTAGATTTTGCTTCTATTATATATGTGAAGAACGTTAGGTGATAAAGGATTGAATAGGCAGCCAATGGTTTCAGAAGACTAGTTGCCATTTCAGTTGTCTCTCTTCCAAGACAATAGAAAATAAGATGTTAGAAAACTACATCTGGATTTAATTATGAAAATGGCTAAATTTTGCCTGTTGTAGTTTATATCTCTTTCAACCTGCCATCTCAGCTTCCTCTAATCTTTTCTTCCCATTATTCTCTAGGTTTAATTTATATCTGATCTGGCTGGCTTCTGATGAAAAATAACTGCCATGACATTGGAGATTGGAGTAATGGGGGTAAAAATTTCCCAAGCTATCAGGGGAGCTCTTAAGGTAAAAGACTTCAGGATACTCTAAGCAATCATGTTATATTATATGGGACAGGAGGGTAGATAGATGGCTACAGAGGAACATTGACATGGACTTTGAAATCATAAAGAGAGACCAGCACCTACAGTCTTCCTTCTGTGGCTCACAGTGGCCATTGGTAGTCAGAGTGACCACGCACCTCAGGGCATAGAGGACTCAGGTCAAATCTTCTCAGAGTGGAACCTCCTCATCATATAGATACTGTGCTTGGCCAGGCGTGTTGTCTTCCCAAACTAGTGAGGAGGCAGGAGGCAGCTAGGGATTTAGTCCTTGTGAAGTGGATAAGCTCTTTCATGGTGCCTACTCCATGGACAGGGCTGTGGACAGGGGAGAGTTGCAGGTGGCTGGCCGGCCAGCAACCTGGGGACCTGCTTCTTCAGTCAGCTCCACAAGGCGGCAATCTACGAGGAAGATATCCTGCTGGGCTCCTGGCCCTTGTGGGTGATCCTGGAGGTGGAACCTTCTGCAGGCAGAGGAGAACAGATTCCGGAATGCTGCCTGGAAGCGGCGAGACAGTAGGTTATAGATAATAGGGTTGACAGCAGAACTCAGGTAGAAGAATACACCTGGAAAACAGAGGATTAGAAAGGACATGCTAAGAAGAAATTGGGGGAGAGACAGGAGACGGGGAAGCAGAGAGGGTAAAAGCTGGAATCTCTATGAGTGCCTCTCTTGGGAAGTGATGATAGATACAAAACTCTAATTGAGGATACAAAATGCTCTGAACACATCTACATCCTGTGCACTTATGAATAAACACAGAAAGATTAAAGAGTCTAGGAAAAGAACTCAGGCTGGTGTGGGATCTCTCTGGGATGTTCAGTAACTTCCTTTGATCCCTACTTGTTTAATTAAAGAACAAGTTCCTCATAGCATTAATAAGAGACGCTTAAGTATCAGAGGAAAGAGAGATATTTTTTCTCATTGGAATTTTACTTAAATCTATAAAATGAAGGTGCAGGTAATGGAGGAAGAGTAAAACAGCCAAGGCCTATTCTCTGCCAAGATACTGTACCCTGTAATGCTTAAATTCTCTGCAAGGAAATATTCTCCTGTGTCCTTTTCCTATCTATTATTTTTTCTTAATGGATTTTCCACCTGATTGAATAAGTTCATTTCACCATTTACTTTTTCCACCAAATGCCTTGCAATTGTCAGAAAAAATAAATACTCATTGAACTCTTATTATGCAGCAGGTAATTTAAGGCACATTGGAAGGCAGAAATTTAAACTTTGTTATTCAAGGGTTTGACATACTATTGTAAAGGCAAGATCTATAGCAAAGCTCAGTAACTAACAATATAACAATATCAAGTATTATCTTTGAAGAGCAAAAACGACATACTAGCAAAAGTACTAAAATGATTCACATAATAGCAAGAACACAAGGATTGTAATTGTCATGCATGATTGTGTGTGTATATGTGTGTGTGTGTGTGTGTAACTGGAATCCAATTAAACCTTGAAATGAATAGAGTGGAGGGCATTGTGTCTAGAAGGCATAGAATATGCAAACTCAGGAAAGCATATAGGAATGATATGCAGAAATATGTTAGCTAGCTTGATAATTGTATAGTCATTAATGAAAATGCAATAGTTTGGAGAACATAATATCATGTTAAGGGTTTTTTCTATAGCATTTCAAAGGATAGATCTCATCTGGTTGACAGTGTGAGGTAAGGGAGATATTTTAAAAGAGTAATGTCTTTATTGAAGATGTAATTTGGAACTCTTAAATATGGTGGCCTGTGGAGAAGTATAGTCAACTATTCATGTCCCGTGTGAACTTTCACTGTTTTCTAATTTACTTAGGCACTTCCTTTTTTTCATATTGACCATAGCCTGAGTACAAGAGAGATGACAGACTTATAGACATGGTATTCAGTATACTTATGTATGCTATTGTTTTGGTTCTGTGTACATTTGAAGTTTAACTGACTTACATTCAGTTATGTGTGTCACCTCACCTCACCACTTCTCCTCTCCTCTCATCATGTCTCTTGATAATTTGTGAAGCCCGGAGCACTCGCCAGTGACTAGCAGAGGAGGGAAGGGCAGGGATGAGAGTCTCAGAGCAGTGGACATGGACAGGGAAGAGGTTCTGGGGGGCTATTCTCTGCTCTGCTTTTGTGGGAAACACTCAGAACTTGAATTTCACACTTGGACTGAGCCCTGTGCCCCTTGGCAAGTCATTTCTTCTTGTGGAATGGTTGATTTCAGTATAAAATGGCTAAGGGTGATATCCACCTCACAGCCTGTGATAATATAGAATGACGTGCAGCATTTTATAGCCTTAAAGCTCTGTAATACCTCCTCTTCCAGCTGTGTCTCACGATCAGCCCATGGCTTATCTAGAGCAGGCATCGTGATCATTTTGTAGCTGTGGAAACTTTGGCAGGAAGGAAGCCAGGTGCTCTGGTTCACTCCACATACAAATGGCAGAGTTGGACTGCAAATCCAGGTCCTGGGCCTGAGCGACTTTCCCATCCTATTTCCCTCACATTCTGTGATATCCTTGAGAAAAGTTAAACTAGCCTAAAAGCAGACCCTGATGTCTGTGAACATCCTATGGTTGGTTTCCATAAGCAATATGAGATTTCTGAGACATGATGTTTACTAAGTAAGTACAAATTCATTCACATGGCCACTGGCAGCAAAACCAAAGAAATAACCTGTTGACTATTTTTCTGCCGCATTTATTACACATAAGAGTTGAGGTTTTCTGTATAATTACCTCTAATGTAGCTATACCTTGTATTTTGAGTAACATTTTGGCCATTCTTTTAAGATCATGATACACAGTGTATTAACTGTTGCCATTCTGTATTTTGTTGTGAAATTTGTTTTTTCACAGAAGTAAAAAGAGTGCTGTTTTATATTTTCTTTATTAATATCTACTTGTATTACATTAAAATAAAAAACAAAATAACTACTGCTCTTTTAACCAGTGACATGCCTAATCAATCTCTGAATAAAGTTAAAATCAAGTATCTTCATTATAATGACAATGGGCAGATTCCCCACAATACACTGCTATACTGAAGCATCTACATAAGGTGAAGGAAGCTGTAATTACCTGGACACTTACCAGACCATCAGATTAGCCAAGTTTTTACCTGATACCACGTGGAAGAGATTAAACACTGCAGCCAGGGGTTCGGTCCACTCCTCCACAAAGCTGAAGAAGAGTCGATCGACGTGGAATGGCGTCCAACAAATGCCGAACACTAAGACCAAGACAACTGGCAAAGGATAGTAAATAGGAGAGTGTAGGCAGTGTAGGCAAGGGCAAGAATATAATGCTCATTCTGTTCCTTCTAGGGCTTTTCCCCTCCACATTAGTTAAGCTATAACTGCTTTGGGTAAACTCGATCCAAGATAGAATATTCAAACCTAAGAATTAATTGTAATGGGTCTGAGATTACTTTTCTATTGAATTATACAAGATCCAAGCATAATAAAAGTTTCCTTTAGAGCATTTATGATAGTACCACATTTATATAAAAGTTCTGGAAACAGTTTACTGTGGAAAGTAAATTATGTTGTAACTAGACCATTGGAGCCGCATAAACTGGCCATCTAAATAAATAGTTGTGACCAATAGGTGGATGTTCTTTAAAGCTATAGATTAATAGCATACTGCTGTATGTATGTATGCATGCATCTGTTTACAATAGAAAAAATTAAGCTTCTCTGATGTTTTGATCTTTTAAAATTCTGTGAAAGGGGAGGAAGGGAGAGGAAGACTGAACAACCACAAGAATAATATTGCTTTGCAAGTATCTTTTGATCAGAAGAGGATGTGTTTATTACAGGTTAAATTGCTAGAGCACAGACTTCCTTCTGATTTCTCATTTTCAACTCTCAGGACAGAGATTGGTGCTAATATAGTTTCTCTCGGGGCATTTAATGATAAATATGTATGTTTTTATCTTTTGAATTTGTAGAATTTTTTTCTTTGCTGTGACAGGATGCTGAGGAATTGCCTGAAACTAATCATTTAGGGGCTGAGGGGGAGCTAAAGGTATAGGCAGAACATGTCATATGAGTTGATGAGTTTTTAATTTGGGTGGTGGGTCTATGGCATGCATTGTGCAGTTCTCTGTACTTGGGCTTGTCATGGAAGTAGTACTTGTATGTCCTCCTTGCACTAAACTTAGTGTCGAAGTTGTCTGCCTGTGTGATGTGGCTTCAGGAATATTTAGAAGCTTCTTATAATCTTATTCCCCCAGGAAAATTCATTCACTTTTTAAATAATTCCCTCTAGTTAAAATTTAATTCATGCTAAAACTCAACCCCTTCTAAAGGCAAATACATTATAATTTTTATTGTGAATTTAATGTGAGTTTTACTGTGAGTAGATTATGAGTGAAAAAAAAAAACAGAGAGAAGTTAGGCATGGTGGTGCATGCCTATAATCGCAACAGAGGCTATTGGAGGGAGAGAGGCTGGGAGGCTGAGACAGGAGGATTACCATGAGTCCAAGGCGAGCCTAGCCTACACAGTGAGGTCAAGGCCAGCTTGAACTATGTAGTGAGACCCTGTCTCAAAAACAAAAAACAAAAAACAGAGAGACAGTGAAGTCATAGTTTTTTTTTTTTTTTTTTTTTTTTTTTTAACCTCAAGTCAGGTACCAACAGGGGCTAGAAAATTTCCAAGAATGATTATCAGAATCAAAATATCACCTTCAGTCACTTCATTTTTTTTGGTTGTTGCTCATAGATGGAACACAATCATAGGGAAGAATTTCACAGGCACATTGCCTTTGAAAATTCATTACTTTTAAATCTTAGGTTTTGCTTTGGCAAATATGTGATAAATCTTTCCCTTAGCAGTGACTCTTAAGGGTTAGTACTGGACCATACATTTTTCCTATTGAATGGATCACATGTTTTTATAACACTCTTTAGGGAGCATACAGATCACCATCTCGATTTTTTTTAACAAAACATGTTATTTATACAAAAATAATACTGTTTTGATTCAAAGCTACTGAATGTCATAGGTGGAATGACAGTTTAGCCATCCTCCTGACCACATAAGTCTCAATCTAGAAATAAAATATCCCCTGGGGCCTATGAGTGGGCTTCAGAAGGTTATGATGCGTGAAAAGGATTAGAAAACATTTGTGTACGTGTATTTATAAACTTTCTGGCTGGAGAGCTGTTATAACTTCTATCATAGTTGTAAAGAAACTCATAACATAGGAGGTTGACCATCACCTACCTCCTGGATTTACTGAGGGTAGTGACACTCAAAGCCTGGGACAGTAGATGTGATTTACTGTATACCACATGGGGTATATTCAGTGAATGCAATTTAGCATGCTATATTAAGGGATGAAAGCCAAAAGGGAAACATGTGTGTGTGTGTGTGTCTAAGCTTGAGAACACCAAGAAAGACAGATTGTGATACTATGTTTCCAGGTGATTTGGGGCCTGATTCCCATCCCACTTTGTCAATATCAAACACAACTCTTTGTCTCTATGAAACAAAAGAAAGCCAACCCAAACCACAGTGGTGGACTTACACAGCATCTTGTTTACTGATTTTCTGGAAGGCCTCTGAATATTCGCATTCACTTCATCTGCTTCAAGGGATTCATCTTTCTTCAGCTGAAGAAGAAATGGAAAGTGATGGTAGGAAAGAGAAACCTTTTTGTTTCTCCCGTGACGATCTGAGAAGGGTAACACTAATACAGAAGCTCCTCAGTGAAGGAGTCACATTCCCATGCCTATGTTATTAAATGAATTGATCACTAAATAAGGAGTTGTAAATATGTGAACATAACACTATTCAAAACAAAGCAGTGGTCAAAGGAAACTTCAACTTGGTGACTTTCATTTGCATAACTTTATTTTTTTTTTGGTTTTTCTCCGGTACCGGGAACTGAACTCACGACCTTGCACTTGCCAGGCAGGTGCTTTGCCGCTAAGCTAAATCCCCAGCCCCCATTGCATAACTTTAATAAAGAAATTTTGTCCTTGAAGTCAGGTAACTCTCAGGGCCACATAGGGCTGAACATCCACCTGAATGATCAATACACTGAGCCATCTGTCTCTTGGCTATATTGATGCTCCTTACCTATAGCCATGTTTTCATCAGCTGAGGGGATAAAGTCTTAAGAAATTTGCCCCTTTAAAGTCATTGAGTTCTTGACATGAAACAAGAGAATTCTTACACAGTAATGTAGGAATAAACGGGAGGAACCTGAAGTTTATCAGCTGTTATTGATACAATAGTAAAATAAAATAATGCTACAATTTACTTATCTCAGTGCCTGGCACATGAAACTTATAAAGTGATATATTATTGGTAGGCTAGCTGCCCAGATGACATAATAAAAACTTAATATTTTTAAATAGAATTATTTATTTATATTTAGGGGTCCATTCAGCTTGATTCCTGAGTCTCTTCCAGAAATTCTCTTTCTTCTGCTACTGCTCACTCAGAAGCAGTGCTCGCTGATGCCAAGAAGTAGCCAGTTGCCCAGGGAAGCAGAGGATGAAGGTTAGAGCACAGCATCACACTACAAACTTGAGCAATACATTTTCAACTAAATCTACTCACAGGTTCAAATATGCTTTTAAAAAGAATAGTATCATACAATATGATTATTCCATTTTAAAATTTCAATCCATAATTAAGAATACAGAAAAAATATTGAGATCTCTCAGTGACTTCTTGATTGGCTGAGCTTAACAGTTTTCAATGCTAATGTCTCTGTCTCAAAGCATAATTTCCTTAAAGAAAACATGAAGCAAGGAGTCTATGCACTTCTTTTACAAACAGGCCTCCTGTGCACTTATAGTCTGATTGAAAGAAAATTGTATGCCAGTTTGTTGTTACTTATTTTTGAACTTTCCTAAGTTATAAATGACACAATTAGCTAACTAAAGGAACAGTGAAAAATGAAATATCTGCATGTGTTGTACCTTGTTCTACCAGAATTTAAAGTGGCCAATATAGTATAATCCAAGCAATTTTTCTAGCCAATATTAAATGCTGTTTCAGTATTGAATAATTTCATGGCCCTTCAAATGTTTACAGAAGATATTAAACCATTAATTATTCTTACCTCCTCCAAACTTTTATTTTAAAAGTTAGGTAGCAAAAAAGAGGCAGGAAAAATTGCAGTCCCCATATCAGAAGTTCAGAAGCCTTTCTAGTCAACTTAGTCCAGCTTCCACCTCCAGCTATAGGACATCAAAGTGAAGGGAAGGTTCCTGCGATTGAGGCAGGTTTGTTCATAGTAAATGAAGTAATTCCACTAGCTATTCATTTATCTGGCTCATCAAGATTTGGTTTCATAACAAGATAGAATGATGCATTTGTGTAACTATCTTTACAATCTGAATATAATCTATATCTCATCCATATATGTGTATCTGTATGTATGCGTCCATAACTACATCTATATTTATATGTCTGTGTATATTAATACACCTATTTGGTCTGGTTGTACCTGCTGTAGTTCTTACATGTATCCTCATCAACTCAAGCTTTGAAGGTGAATGCAGGGAAGACATTTCACCAGGGCTTCCCCCTGATTGGGAGGGAACTTGCCCTGGGATTATCTGTTTTCCATCTTTACAGTTTTCTCACCCTGGAAAACAGTGCTGCGTAGGTCAGGGTTCTAGAAGAGTAATGGTGAATGTTTTAAAGCTTTCAAAGAGCCAAGCAGTGCGCTGTGGCACACGTGTCACAGCTTCACCACCACTGTCCTAGGACGTTGAAGCATCACTGAGTATTTACTTCTGAGTACGCATGTGGCTTCCCTCCTGCAACTTCATCTGTGTCGCGTTTAATACCTTCTAAAGGCAGTGGCATCCACAGTGCTTCACACCTTTAGACTTTCAAAAAGAGTTAATAATTTAAATATTCTTAGAATAGCCTGGATCTCTTTAAAATCTCATAGATCAGAAGGGGCCTTGAGACAAGGTCTCTAAGTTGTTTGGTTTAAAGGTAGAGAAGCTGTAACTCCGTAATGAGGGAGGAAATTTAGCCTCATTTACTCAACTGAGATTCTGATCTAATTGGAGAGAAATAAATTAAGGAATCCGCAAGTATGGAAGTATGAATTGTAACGAGGGAAAATATCTGGGAGGCAGAACACTTATGCCCAGGGCCAGGAAGAGCTAGGGAATCTGGGGCACATCCCTGAGGAGGCATGACTGAGGGGTGATTTAGAGGATGAGTGAGAGCTAAAAAGGCAAATAGCAGGAGCATTTCAGGCAAAAGGTAGCTCAGAGAAGAGGGGCCACCTCGCTAGACCTCGGGCCTAGGGGTATTCGAATTCTTCTAGGGGACAGTTTCAAAGCAGACAGTTCCTTTCCTGGTATCCTGGTAACCTGGTAAAAATTCATCCTTCCTGAGAGCACAAGCAAGAGGTGTCTAACCTATTGTCTGAGTAGTCACTCAGCTCCTGAAACAAATTAGCTGTGGATTTATCACAGTAAGACGCAAGGTAATAGGTTGTAGAAATATGTTTCTTACTCAAATTTAAATATTCCCCCCAGTTTGACTCAAAATAAATGATTGGTGCTGGGTGAGATGATGTAATAAGATCTCAGTGCTTTTTTTAAACAAGATTGTGAAGTTTGGGGAGGTATGGAATGCTTTCTATATCTTCCCAAATGACAGGCGTGGCTTTGGGCCAGTTTGGAGTCAAAAAAGTCTCTGAGAATACAGGGGCCAGAACTCCATGAGGAACCTGGCACAGCCCTCTGTGATTAGATTCGTTCCTGTGCCCAGAAGTCTGTAGTGTTTAAAATTTGTTCTTCTCACTCGGACTTTGCTGTTCATCTTAGGATCAAGAGGTAGATAAAAGGTCCACCAGGGGGCACTCATTTTTAATGATCATCTTTCTCAGAGGCACATTGATGGTCATATATGAATTATCACATAATGTGTAGTGACAGAATCATCTTCAAGGATGTCATGTGAGCATGTTCGCTTTGTTCATTTTTTTATTACTCACATCGCTTCTCCTCAGATGTTTCTTTTTCTTTTTTTAAGAGTCACAGACCGTAAGAACTAGAAGGAGCAAAGATATGACCTGCTGTCACCTTTTTAATTTATACATATGGAAACTAAGGCGAGGAGGATGCTGTGACCAGTTCAAAGGCATAATGTAGGTAAGTGTGGATCTGGGAATTTACATGGGCTCTTAACTTTATTTCATAAGCTACTTTCTTAAATGAATATAAGACTGTCATAGTCAAGAGTTGCATTTTTATAAATTCGGGTACAGAATATACTAAGAATTATATAGACTTATGTTTTTATCAAAAATACTTTGTCTCACCAGTTGAAATCTAGAGAAAAGACAAAAAATCATTTACCTCCATAAGTATAGAATAGGAACTTCCAATTATACATTGCAAACAGAATGATACTTTCCTTGCTATCTCAGATGTCTCTTACTCATATTCTTTAAGTCTATCTTGTGTGGTCTGTTTACCTCCCCATTTCTCAGTCTCCAGCTGCTCAAGAGGAGACCAAGCTGATTTCACACTATTCATATACATAAATACATATATATGTATCAATATATTTCAGTGTAATTTAGTATTTCACCCAGAGGATCATTCAACCACAAGGAAGTGTTTTACTTAAAAATTATGTATCTGACTTGGGCCTTTAAGTAGGTAGGGATTATTTGTAGTTATTCTCAGACCTAGTTGGTGCATAAAAAATTTCAACACAGGCAATAAACAAGAAGAAGTCAGGGAAGAGACAGCAAGCTCTGAAAAAGCCCCTCAGAGCGAGAGTACCTAACTGCACATTGGCTGATCTGCTTATTTAAAGTGCATTTCCATTTCCAAAGACCTGGATTAGATTTTCCTGTGGGTGAGGGATATACACTGGAACCCACAGTAAATTTTTAACTAGTTCTTAGAATACTTACATCTGAGAACCAGTATGGAGGGGATAATAATGAAAGATGAAGTAAATGACGTACAGCTGTGGTTTTACTATTTGTTCAGTTGGAAGCAAGCGCTCTAACTTCGTAATCTCCCATCTAAATCCATCCTCTTTTTTTCTGTGCTCCCTTCTGATTCCTCATTTCTCCAGTTCTAGGGTTTTCACTGGACTTCGAACAGTGACAACCCCTAGCTAGTCCACGTGGATACTCACTTGGAGCCCCATAAGGCAGTAGAGGACACTGATAAGGGTCATGGGGATGAGGTAGAAGAGGAAGGAGGTGACCTGGATGATGAAGTTGTAGATCCACATGGGCTTGATGACCGTGCAGGTGGCAGAGCCAGGGATGAAGGACCCATTGGGGAAGTAGTGGAGCTTGATGCCGTGGACGCTCGTGTTGGGCAGAGAGAAGATGATGGAGAAGCCCCAGACCATGGCGAGGATGCACAGGGCCCGCTGCCTGGTGCTCTCCAGCTTGGCACGGAAGGGATAGAGGACGGCCACATAGCGCTCCACGCTGACTGTGGTGACGCTGAGGATGGAGGCGAAGCACACAGTCTCAAAGAGCGCAGTCTTGAAGTAGCAGCCCACAGGCCCAAAGAGGAAGGGGTAGCTGTGCCACATTTCGTAGACTTCCAGGGGCATTCCGAGGAGCAGGACCAGGAGGTCTGAGACAGCCAAGCTAAACAGGTAGTAGTTGGTTGGTGTCTTCATCATCTGGTCTCGAAGGATCACGAGGCACACTAGGAGGTTGCCGATGACGCCCACTACGAAAATCAGCGCATACACTACGGTCATGGGGAGAAACATGTGGCTGCGCCTTGGTCCACACAGGTAGGCCAGGTAATCCTCGGTGCTGTTCAGGGACTTCCACGGGTCTTCCAGTTCCTGCTGGTGAGGCCAGGAGGCATTGACAAGGTTTTCCATCACTGACATCAAAATGCAAGACCTGGCATCCCCTGATGTAAGGCTGCGACCCAAGCTGAGCCAGGCTGGACAGAGAAGGCAGTCTGAAAAGCACTGCTCAGTGAAGCAGGCTGACAGAAAGTGTGCCTGAGCCTCCAGATTGGGCTGCTCACAGCGCTGAGCCCTTTTGAAGAGCCCCTGAGACAGAAGCTCCGCCCCGGGCGGCTGTGGGCCAATGGGTGTGCTACAGGCTGTGGTGTAAGCCAGACTGCTGGGCAGCTATGCTGGCTGTGTGCAAGGGGCAGGGGAGGTGGGAGAGACCTGTGCATCGGAAGAGGCAGGAAAAGCAGCTGGTACAGTATGGATCTGAGCAAATAGCAGTCCCAACAGTGCATGCTGCAAAGTTTTGGGAATCTGGGTGGAAATAAAAATACAAGTTGCATGGTCACCTCTGGCAGAATTCAAATCTCCACTGAACCCTGCCCTCTGTACAACATAACAAATATGGGAGATTAATACATTTCTCATGTTATTTTGTTCTATTGGAAATGCAGAGATCTCTGGAGAAAAGTATGATTGAGGTTACTTTTCTTTTTTTTTAATGCATCCGCAATAGAATCCGAGTCCTGAAGGGACATGTGCCTATCACCTAGTTCCATCTACTGTCTGAAATTTCTCTTTTGTGACAGCTCCAAAAGTAGGTGGGCTTCAGAATTAGATCCCCTTAGGAAGTTTACTCAAACTCTCAGAACCTGATTTTCTCATCTGCAGCATTCATTTTATTTTGTTCAAGAAATATTTCTGGAGAATTCACTGTGGGTCAGGCAATGTTATATCCTTCATGGAAACATCAATCCACAGACAATACAAGGTTTCTCTCCTCATTGTGCTTTTCTTACAGTATGGGATTCTAAAAATAGTATGATTTTAGATAAAAGTTGATGAATATGTATTTATCTCGAATGGCCAAACAGATTTTGTCTCAAGACAAAATGACATTTGGGCTGAGGTCTGAATGATGAAAGCTCAATCGTAAAAGAAGTAAAGGGAATATATTCCCAGTAAAAGAAATATCAAGTATAAAATCCTGAGGTAGCAACAAGCTACCTTCAGAAATATTGGATGACCAGTATGATCAGAATATCAAGAATATTCTGCCCAGATCCTGAGATTTTGAAGGAGGCTGAGATTAAGTGTGGTGGACTAATTAGCATTATGGAGGAATTTTCAAAGCAGCCAAACCTGTATGACTTGACGATACTCACAGACTGCATCAGTCCTTTGGGTCAGTTACTTTTCAGTAGCGACAATGCCTACATTTGAGTGTGTTAAAGTAAGCAAAGATTTGTTTCTTGCTTATTCTTCATGTCCTTCAGGATTTCCTCGTCACTTCTGTTCTATATTGTTCGCACATTGGAATGCAAGCTCAAACAGCTGTTTCAATAATTCCTAGGAGAGTTCCCAAAGGGCACCCTGACTCTTAGATGCTATACTCAGAAATGATAAAAATCACTTTCAGTCATATTTTATATCAAGTCTCATATCACTTCTTATCCCAATGATGGTCAGAATAACAGTCTCACCATGTACCAGTGGGAGAAGACCAAAAACATTTGCTGAATAGAATTAATGGATGTGCATTCTGCCCCTTTAGGTTAAAAATATTTAGCTTTTTATTATTATAATTCCTAATACATGTATCCAACATCTAAAAAGCCACCTATTGTGATTATTTTTTAAACAGTTTTTCTAATGATTTTACAGCTTCAAATCTATAGGCAAATTTTCCAAGAGAATAAAAAGTACCCAGTGTCTTCCAATGTTGATAAACTAGCACATAAGTTCCATCAATTTATGATTTAATATACAGTATGCACTCAAATTTTCAATCTTTCACAGCACATTAACAAAATTATTAGGAAAAGTGGACTACCATGACTAAAGTGTACATACAATTCCGACAAGGCAATGATCAAGAAGTGGTATTCTTTAGGAAAGAATTCTACTAAAACCATCAAGGGAATAGAAGTAATTTAAAATATTCAATACATATTAAACTCACACTGTGATTCTAAGTGGCCAATTAGTATGCTTTGTTTTATAGTAGCTTTAGACGCATTTTTAAGGGGAAAGTCACACATTCTGATATTATTTTTAAAAGTATAGCTTTAAAAAGGTATGAAATCATTTGCTGAATTTTTTTGGTGGGGGTACAGCCAGAAAATAGTGGGATATTTACCTATGGAAGGGTTTGACTGTCTTGCATCAAGGATTAACACTCCATAGGTGGGTTGGAAGATAGTTTCTATAACCCGTAATGTGAAGCATAACTAAGGATATGTTTTTAATGGGAGAAAATCCCCTATTCTGAAGCACTTCCAGAGGCAGAATGCAGAACACCTCTGGGTTGATAGATATAAAGAGGAAGGTCGTGGATATGAAAAGGGAGACTTTGAGCACTTAGAGCAGATTAATTAGAAATGGGTCACTTGTGTCACTGGAGGCACTTAGCTTTGGTTGAGTGGCCATTTATCGCCAGTATTTTGTGAAGTTATAGTTAGTTGGACTGAGTGAATTTTAAAGTTTCTGCTACAAATATTGCTTTTTGGATCTATCTATCCATCTGTCTATCTATCTGTCTATCTATCTATCTATCTATCTATCTATCTATCTATCTAATCTACCTGTCTTCACTGAGGGTCCCATAACATCTCAAGTTTTATATGTCCATGACTGAATGCATTATCTTCCCCCTAAACTGGTTCTTCTCCTGTGTTCCCAGTTCAGTGAGTGGCAAAACTATGTACTTACAGGGTATCGAATACTGGGTTAGATAACCCTTAGTTATTGCAGGCTGGTCAGGCCCACGATCTCCCAAGCAAGTGGACAGCGAAGGCTTAAATAAATGAGACAATGGAAATGATTTTAGGGCTCCAGGAGGAACTAACTCCCTTACAGTTTCGATATTCTCGAAGTTTAGCCAAAGACTTCCCGGGGTGGCCTGTATTTATTTGGTTTTCAAACAAAGAAGGAGGATACTCAAGAAAACACAGGAATCTCGCAGGAACTTGGGAGAATTTTCCCAAGTAGTAAATTATGTCAATCAGGAGAGCTGTCTTATCCTTAGGTTGGAATTTACTGTAGGAGTGTGGGGCCTGTAGCTGCAGTCTCCTTGTAGTAGTTGGGGTTGGAGCCAAACATCTTCAGCTGTGGCCTTATCTTGTCAGAGAAGGTGCCTACGCTTCAGACAATTCACAAGTAAATGTGGAAAGCCAATTGGTTAATATTAAATCCTGCTCAGAGCCACTTTGTAGTGGTCCCCAACAACAGAGCTCATCTAAAAACCTGTTTTTTTCACTTTAAAGAGAGTAAAAATAATAAAAAAACATTAGAAATGATACAGAATTTCAAAAAACAAGACAATATTAATTCAACAATGGTTGTTATATTGAATATTGTTGTCTTCAAAGTAGTTGTTCAGATTACCAGATATAAGCATGCAAAACTGGTCAAAAATATGAAGCATTAACTGTTTCTTTCAATAAACCAATAGAAGTTAGTAGTACAATTATCTTAGCTATCTTGTGTGTGTCTGTGTGTATTCCCCTTCTTTCTCTTTTTTCTCCTTTCCTTCATCCCAGTTCTTTCTTTTTGAGCAGTTTCTTTCCCTTTCACAATATCTATTTTACCTTTCAGATTTTATTTACTCTTTCAGGTTCTTATACTAGGGAGACAATACGATGTTTACACATGTGGGTCTGATTTATTTCACTTAGGAGTATGGTCTCTAGTTGTGTGGAGATTCCTCAAAAAGTTAGGATTACAGGTACCATTAAATCCAGCTATTTCCCTTCCAGGTATTTTTCTGGAAGAACTGAAAACATCATATCACAGTGACATATGTGCACCCATGTTTATAGCAGAGCAATTTGTAATGGCTAAATCTTGGAAACAACTCAAATGCCCATCAACTGAGGAATGGATAAAAAAGATGTGGTATTTTTATACAATGGAGTATTACCCAGCTACAAAGAAAGATAAATTTGAGACTTTTACAGGCAAAAACATGTTTCTTGAGATGAGTGCACACTTATAATCCAGTAACTCAGGATGCTGAGGCAAGATTGCCACAAGTTTGATCCTGGACTACATAGTGAGTTCGAGGCCAGCTTGAACTATTGACAGAGTGAGACACTGTCTCAAAAAATCAATCAGTCTATCAATCAAAACCTCTTTTGTTTTGACTCTGTGTGTCCTTTCCCACATCATTTGAACCCTGTCATTTGAGTGTACATATCTTCTCAAAATCTGTATGTTGAAATCCTTACCTACAGGGTGGTAGTATAAGAAGGCAGGGGCTGAGGGAAGTGATTACATCATGTTGGGTAGAGACATTGAGAGTGAAATCAGTGCCTTAATAAAAGAGGCCTGGAAAGAGATCCTTTCCCCTTTTGCCTTGTAAGGACACAAGAAAAACTGTCCACCTACCTGTGGACCAGCAGGCAAGCCCTTACTAGATCCTGAATTTACCATACCTTGATCTTGGACTTCCTGGCCACTAGAACTGTGAGAAATACATATCTTTTGCTTATAAGCTACCCAAATTTTGGCATTTTATTATAGCAGCCCAAATGGACCAAGGCACTGATCAATATCCAAATCTGTCCATTTTATCTCAAAGACATGTTTTTAAGTATCTATCAACTATTCTATATCCCCACCACCCCTTTCTTCCTCCAGGCCACCACATTGCTCCATTGGACTTCCAATGGGTCCCACTCTTTGCTTTCTGTCCAACCCTATCTTGTCCTATAGTTAGAGAATGTGTCTGAAACACAAATATAATGCATCCTTTCCATGTCAGGTCTCAAGTACCACCTTCCTTAATATGACCTATGATGTCATTCATGATGTAAGTCCTGCTTTTCTCCAGCATGGGCTCTTAGCTTTGTACTGATGTAGTTGCCAACCCCAGTTTCTGGGACTCTCCCCCAAAACGTTTAGGTCTCTGTGTGTGTTTTCCCTTCTGC